CTTTCATAACCACTCATTCGCAGGAAATGAAAGCCCCTACCATATATATTCTTAAGAGTAATTTGGGTTCATTTTTTTATTTTAATTTTATTTTGTTTATTTTGGTATAGATAAAATACAATTGATATCTTAAAAAAAATATTAATTATCTTTATTGAATATTGAATAAATCGATGTATGCGTTGGATATATTTATATGGGTATTTATGTCATTTTTTTTGAGTTATCAAAATTTAATGATCCTATTATTTTTTTTTATTTTGTAAATATAATTTTAGCATATATTTAAAATTAGAGCTCTTAATTTTTATGAGATGTAAATGAGCAAAATTTCAGTGAATTGATAGTTTATTTTTTTTGGCTAAATTTTTTTCCCTGCTTATTCTTTCCTCTCTACTCTCTCTTTTCTACCGAAAAATTATTAGGTGCAGAGTGCGCACTGTCCGCACAAGTATTGAGTACCTAGCGGTACCCAACTGTACCCAATGATATCGAGTGCGGGTACCTAGCCCCCAACAGTACTTATGCCAACGATTCTCTCCGTCCACACTCCGCACCTAATAATCTCCTACGTACCTCCCTACTCTCTCTCTCTCTAATATTTATTGAATTTGAATTGTATTATTTATTTTTGAGCACGTGATATCTACAATAAATTTTTTTCAAATGTACCATTTTTTAGCAATAAAAAAATAATAACTACCAAAACTGTTGCACCTTTGTAGTCGAGTACATTAGTTGCATCCCCTCTTATGATATTTTGAAAATTTACAGCTTCTGCCCCCACATTAAAAAAAAAAAGCTCCACATTTGGGTGGAGGCCGTCTATGTTAGGAGAAATTATTACGTGTACTCACCGGATCATCTAGAGATCAATCAGGAGGTGATACGTTATCTGATTCACAACATTACACATGATGATATATAGAGAATTGATGATGTGACGCGTCCTGATTGGCCTCCAGATTACGTTCGGCAACCGCACGTAATAATTTAAATTTACATGTGATATGAATCATGACTGAAAACATTTAGCAAGAATAATATCACTTTTTAAATATGTAGTATTATCATGTCAAGGAAATTTATTTGCGTACAAGTATTTGATACATGTTGAACATGCCATCTACGTATACGCTCTAAATAATAATGTTTTATTTTAAAATGTAATATATAAATCACTTGATTAAATAATCTCTTCTCTTAATAGCTACATAATACATTAATAATAATTTTTATTTTACTTAATTCTGCCCTATTTTTATATGATTTTATATAATATATTTATTTATATTATAAAAATAATTTAATTACCAGTTTGAAAAAAATTCTATAAAAATCATGTAAAAATTATTGTTGTTTTCAATGGAGTTGAGTATTTAACAAATTCAAATGTATCCTTTTCATATGAAGGAATCAAAATAAATTTTTATTTTTAAAGTTCCAGTTATATATATTTAATCCTATTAAGTTTTTTTTTATAAAACTATAATTTTATAATACTTTATCGAGTTTAAAATAAAAAGCTGCATGCCATTGCAGCAAACAATAAGAATTAATATTGAGATCTCCAAGCTGCGAGGAATGAAGACTGAGAAATCAAATTTCTTATGGAATTAAAAAAGATAAATTAAAAAAAATATTTAAAAAAAATTTCTTATGAAATTGACTCAGTTCCAGCTCTGCCGTTGGGCTGAATGTTATTACATACAAAAGTTACTTTTTAAAATTAGATATAATATGATAGGAGAAATGATTAAAATGGCTTCATCAATTTTTATAACGGATTAGAATAATTTCCAATTATATTAAAAAATATTTTGTCTTTTAAAATTTTTAAAATGATCAAAATAGTTCATGATGGATTAATTTGAATTCCTCTGTTAAGAATGACGGACCAAAATGATTATGTTAAACATTATTTTGATCTTTTATAAAAAAGTCAGGGACATTTATCCTATCTCTTTCACATGAAAGTATATATAATATATATAATATTATTATACATATATTAATACGACATCACAAAATTTATATTGAGTCGGGCACGAATCTCCGAGGCAAAAGCTAGCCGGGAAACTTCAGAAATTAAATTCGGGACACCTGAAGCTCTGATTTTAAGCGAGCTTATAGTCCAAACTGAGCGTCTCGGAAACGAAGCCAACAACACCAAGATCAACCCAATCTGGAGCCCAAATGAGGTCTGAATCAGTTTCAAAGCGCTGTTGGAAGGTTTCAAACCGCAATTTGAGATACCAAACGGTCTCCAATTTTTGACGAGCTTATACTCGAATCGCAACGGCTCG